CATTATGTATATAGTTATAGGCTATAAAGTACCCATGAATACTGAATTAGCAAATAACACAACAGAACCATCCTTATTCAACCTCAGCTGGGAATAATTCACTGCTCTAGGCATTTGTATGTCTACTGATGACTATGAAAACACTGTATTTTTGTTGAATAGGTGAAGCTATCAATATAGAATCAAGCCTTTCAGTATAGATTTTTTTTAAATATGTTTTTGTTGTTGCTAGTTACAGTTGAGTTGGTTTTGACTAATAGTGGCCCTATGCACAACAAAATGAAGTGATGCTTGATCTTGTACCATCCTCACAAATGTTGCTACATTTGAGCCCATCGTTGCTACCATTATGCCAGTCCATCTTGTTGGGCATCTTCTTTTTCAATGACCCTCCACTTTATCAAGTATGTTGTCCTTCTCCATGGACTGGTCCCTTCAGATAACATGTCTGAAGTATAAGAGATAAAGTCTCACCATGCTGGCTTCTAAGGAGCATGTAGCTGTGCTTCTTCCAGTACAGATTTATTTGTTCTTCTGGCAGTCCATGGTACTTTCAATATTTTTCTCCAACATAATAATTCAAGTACATTAATTATTTTATGATCTTTCTTATTTCATTGTCCAACTTTGGGTCAGGCACACCTTAGTCCTCAAGATATCTTTGTTCTTGAATAAAAATACTAATAACTGAACCAATAAGCAGTGGAGAAAAGATTTGAGATTTTCAAGGATTTCATTTTACTTGGGTACATAATCAACACTCAAGGAAACAGCAGTCAAGAAATCAAACGATATTGCATTATGCAAATCTGCTGCAAAGCCTTTTTTTTAATTGTTAAAGAGCAATTAAAAATAGTCCTAACACAAGGTCTGATACTTCACCTCATATGCATGTGAAAACTGGACACTGATTAAAGAAGACTGAAGAATTGATGCATTTGAATCATGGTGTTTAGGAAGAGTATTGAAAGTACCATGAACTGTCAGAAGAATGAACATATCTGTCTTGGAAGATATATAGCCAGGAATGCCCATTACCTATGAAGGTGCTGGGAGTTTGTCTCATGGACATTGGATATATTTTCAGGAGGGACCAGTCCCTGGAGAAAAGGATGTCATGCTTGGTAGGTAGAGAGTCAGAAAAAAGAAACAGACCCCTTAAAAATGGATTGGCACAGTGGCTACAACAATGGGTTCAAATATAAAAGAGATGGGTGAGGATGGTACAGGACTGAGTAGTGTTTCATACTGTGCATAGCGGTCTGTATGAGTTGACTGACTCTTATGACACCTAATAACAACAGTGTCACAATGGTCATGTGCTAATCGGAGGTTGGCAGTTCAAAATCACCAGCAGCTCTGCATGAGAAGATATTTCTGCCTAGCAAACCCTATGGGGCGGTTCTACTCTGTCCTGTGTGGTCATTATTAGTTGGCATCAACTCAGTGGCACCCAACAACAGTTTATGTGTGTATGTGTATGTAAAGGAGCTCTGGTGGCATGGTGGGCTAAACATTGGGCTGCTAACTTCCAGGTCAGCAGTTTGAACCTACCAGCCACTTCATAGGAGAAAGATGAGGCTGTCTGTTCCTGTAAAGACTTACAGTCTCAGAAACCTATGGAGCAGTTCTACCATGTCCAAGCGAGTTGGTATGAATAGGAATCTATTTGATTGTTGTGGACTTGGGCATGTGTGTGTATGTGTATATTCTTTCTCTTTTCTAATTTTTTTTTTCCCTCATGACAAAGTCAAAACTTCATAGCAGAGATTACAAAGCTCAGCTTTCCCTTACTTTCATAATTCTCTCTTCCACACTTTGTTCACTAGACTTTCTCTTCTCTAGGCCATGCATGTGCTGGTGTTTCTACTAAAGTTGATTTTGTTTTCTTTGTCGTCCCCTGCTCTCTTTCCTGACTTAGCTCCTCTTCCTGGTTTATTACCTTGCTAAGTGTTAGTTCTCAACTCCCCCAAAGCAATCCTTATCAAAAGTAAGTTAGGTTAGCTTCTAGCACTTTGATGATCTCTGAAGTGACACCAATTTTCTTTGTGTTCATGGCAGAAAAATACATATGTAATTGACATTATATTTTCCCCAAAACTTGTGTAGGTGCTGTCATGGGGATTCCGATTCATATCGACCCTGTGTACCACAGAACAAAACACTGCCTGCTCTTGGCTACACTCACAATCTTTCCTGTCTTTAAGCACATTATTGTAGGCACTGTGTCATTCCATCTTAACTGGTTCCTCTTGATAATGTATCCAAATTGCATGAGACAAAGTCTCGCCATACTCGTTTTAAGGACATTCCTGACTATACTTCTTCTAAGACAGATGTGTTCATTCTTCTGGCAGTCCTTGATACTGCCAACACCATAATTCAAATGCATCAGTTCGTTTCTGGTCTTCTTATTCATTGTCCAGCATGTATATGAGATGGTTGAAAATACTGTGACTTTGGGTCAGGTATACCTTAGTCCTCAAAACAACCTCTTTACTCTTTAACACTTTAAAGAGGTCTTCTGCAGCAGATTTTCCCAATGCAATACATTTAGTGCTGCTTCCATGGGCATTGTTTGTAGATCCAAGTAAAATGATATCCTTGAGAACGTCAATATGTTCTTCTCCATTAATCATGATATTGCTTACTGGTCCACTTGTGCAGTTTTTTGTTTTGTTGTTTTGGTTTTTTTTATTTTTTATTTTTACCTCTAACATAGCATGTCCGTTTTACAAAATTTTCCTGCTTTCCTTTTATCTTTCTGGAAAATTGTAATTGTTCTTCAAAATCTAGTTTACCATGTTTTTGTTAAGTGCCACCAAACTGGTTCTAACTCATAGCAAGTTTATGTATGGTTTCTGAGGTGGCACATCTTTGTGGGAGCAGAAAGCCTTATCTTTGTCCTTCAATGTGGCTGGTGGGCTTGAACAGCCAATCTTGTGGTTCGCAGCACCATGCTTATTGTACAGTACCACCACACTCAAAGTTTTTACCTTGAGCACCTAATATTTCAATATTTTTCTGACAATTTTACCTTCCCTCTGTTGTCTTGACTGAGTTGACCAGTTCTTAATTTGCCATGTTAGTAAGTTTGCTATGTTTTATCATAGCACTGAGGACACTGCATTGCAGTTATTTGTTTTCCATTCTAGAGTAAAACACTAACGAGTATGTACTTTGGCTCTACTGTGAGCAAGGCACTATTCTAGGTTCTGGGGTACACCATTGAGAATATTCTCTGTTTTCAAGATATGTAAAGTCTGAAGAGAGAAATAGACATTAGTGATTAAATAAGTAAGTATAAAATTGAAACTTTGGTAACACCGTGAAAGATAAATGTTTGCTATTATGAAAGCATTTAAAAGAGATTCAACTTTGAAACTGTAAATGAAATGGTCCTTGTGTAACTGTATCTGATAAAAGTCACTGAAAGAAGGCTGGCAAGGCTGGAGCAACTTTGAAAAGATTATTTTGGCTGCATTTGGAATTCATTGGAGAGGAGCAATTGAAGGCATTTAGAGCTCTGGTAGCGTAGTGGTTACGAATCGGGCTGCGAACCTAAAGGTCAGCGGTTCGAAACTACCAGCTGCTCCGCGGGAGAAAGATGAGGCTTTCTACTCCCGTAAGGATTTACACCCTCGGAAACCCTGTACAGGGTCGCTATGGGTCGGAACCGACTCGACGGCACACAACAACAACAACAACAGAGTTGCCGAGGTGAAAGAGATGAGGGTTGTTTGGACTAAGAATGGTGTTAGAGAGAGAGGGGTGAGTTTGAAAGATTTTTAGAAAGAAATGCTGTTACATTAGAATAGAGGGATGATTTGGATATTGGGTGTTATATTTAATAAAAGGAATGTGGGAAGACTGTAAATTTCTGGTTGTTATAACGGGGTAGGTATGTCCTCTTCACTACTGTATTTGTTTAGTGCCTTGTTCTTTATATGACATGCCAATTAAATATTTGTTGAGAATTAATGAGCATTGTTTTAGTTTTGAGAAAATTGTAGTCAATCACAATGTCAATTACATACATAGGAAATGCATTATTCAAATAAAATTTATGCTTTGAAATTTTAGTATATAGCAAATGGGACCTAGACTATGGTTTATGTTTCTACAGTCTTTCAAAATTTGTGTATGATAAGACAGCACAAAATGTGATTGATTTGTAAGAAAAATGATGATAAAGTACTTCAAATTCTGTGTTGTTGTGGGGTGCCTTTGTTTGATTCCAACTCATAGTGACCCTATGTGGGGTCATAGAACTGCCCAGAGAGTTTTGTTGTCTGTAATTTTTACAGAAGCAGATTGTAGTTCTTCTCCCATGGAGTTATTGGGTCTATTAATCCTGATACAATTTCAGGAAACTTTTTTTTTTTTTTAGTTGATCCCTAAGGTTTTTATTTTTCTTTCTTCAGCACATTTTAGCTAATTCATAATTATGTGTGTATTTTGCAGATAATTCATACTTTTTGTCATTGATTCACAAGATCACAAAGGGAATATTATATTGAAGTCTAGTTTCCTTTGAGTTTTTATCTTCTTCCTTAATTATGCTAAATTATTAATGAGCACATATGCTTTATTGTGGAAAATGTTGTTACTAGAAATGTGAACTTAATTTAAGACCAGTACACACTTTAACAGGAGTGCTGGTGGCACTGTAATGTAAGCACTGGACTGTTAACCACAACGTCGGCAGTTTAACCAGCCACTCTGCCAGAAAAAGATAAGGCTTTCTGTTCCAGTAAAGATTTACAGCCTCACAAACCCTATACAGGGTCACTGTGAGTCGGAATTGACTTATGATAGCACCTGACAACAACAACAACAACTCAACCTAAAGTGAGGAGTTGAAACTTAAATAATATTTTTATTTTAAATCCTCTTGTTTTCTTAGAATATATTTTTTATTAGTAATACTAATGTTTAAATAATCATTGGTACCGTCTTAGCTGTTGACATTCAAAATGCTCCTGTGATGTGTTTTACAGGTGTGTTCTGCTCCCTCTTTTGGGAATGAAGCCTCCCCAGCAAAGCCTGTATCTACTTGTTGATTCTGTTGATGAAGGGTGTAACATAACTGAAGGTGAACAAATGTCTACCAGCTTATCTGGGACTGTTGCCGAGCTGTTAGCTGGTCACCATGAGTTCTTCCCACCGTGGCTATTGCTTCTCTGTTCTGCCCGAAAACAGAGTAAAGCTGTTACTAAAATGTTTACTGGTAAGCATAATTACTTACTGCCATTCTCAAATGTTTTTCACTGAACTAGTGAATGTGTCTCTTTCTTAGAGGAAAGTACACAATTGAAAGCCTGGAATTGTTGCTTCTGCTTCTATCAGCTATTCCCAACTTTACCTTTTACATTTATTGTTGTTGTTAAGTGTTGTCAAGTCGGTTCTGAACAAGCCATAGAATGTTTTCAGATCATTTAACGTTACATTTTTTTGTAAAGATTGCAGGATATTTCTTGAAATATAACCTTTTCTTACCTTTTTTTTAAATATGAGAGAACACCTCATATAAATAACTTCTGTTTATTTTAGTTTACTGAAAGTTTATTGATTTGTTAGAATGATTTCTTATGCTAGCTTTTCTCGCAGTTGACTCTCTGCTAATAATGGCAGCACTTTTAGTTTCCATACGTAGTATTCTTTTTTGTTGTTATTAGTGAAAATATAGTTGCTGAAAGATTTGAGAGTTAAAATGATAATACCAAAACCAGAAGAAAAAAAAAAAAAATCGATAGTTGTTAAGCTGATTCTGACTCATGACAACTTCATGTGTTGCAGAGTAGAACTGTGCTCCTTAGAATTTTCAAAAGTCTGACCTTTTGAAGCCAATCACCAGGCCTTTCTTCTGAAGTGCCTCTGGGTAGGTTAATAGTTGAGCACTTAGCTGTCTGTGCCATCCAGCAACTCCATAAAATGATAAGTGCTAACACTTATGCATCACTTAATATACTAGACACAATAAATTTACAGCTTCTTTGTGTCTTCTTTGTCCTTCCATTTCTTTTTAGTCCTCATTAGAAACAACCAATGTGATTGGCTAATTTTATATCCTTTCACCTCATTTATTCATATGCTCATACTGAGTATTTTTACAGCTTACATACAAGACACACAGCATGCACCATTTTAGTTCTACCACTTATTGGTAGTGTGACCTTAGGCAACTTCATTGAATTCTGTGTTTCTCAGTTTCCTCAGCTGTAAACTGGAGATTATAATATTATTTTCCTCATAGGATTTTTGTATTAAATGGTAAACTACATATGAAGCACTTGTTGTTAAGTGCCGGTTTTTAAGAGTTGGTTCTGATACATACCAACTCTGTGTAGGGTTTCCGGGGAGTGACTGGTGAGCTTGAACCACCAACCTTGCAGTTTAAACAACTTTTCAGTCTGGCATATTAACCCACAGCACCACACCAGGACTCCATGAAGTACTTAGAACATATATTAAATGCTTTGTAAATGCATTACTGCTATTATTATTATCGCTACATTGTTGTTTTGTTGTTAAGTGCTATTGAGTTGGTCCCAACCCATAGCAACCCTGTGGAGGGTTTCCAAAGAGTGGTTGGTGAGTTTGAACCACCAAACTTGCCATTCAAACCAACTTTCCAGTTCAGCACATTAACCCACAGTGCCACCCTAACCCCCACCCTTTTTTTGCCAATCTCATTTTGAGACTGTTGTTATTACAAGGAGCACTGGTAGGTAGGTAGCACAGTAGTTAAAGATCTTGGCTGCTAAAGGTTAGTGGCTGGAACCCACCTTCTACTTTAAGAAAGAACGATGTGGCAGTTCCTACACTGTCCTGTATGCCTACTATGAGTCGGAGTCGACTCAACAGCTATGAGTTTAGCTTTTCCTATGGTGTTGCTGTTAAGTGCTGTTGAGTCCATTCTGATTCATAGTGACCCTGTATAGGGTTTTTGAGGAGTGGCTTGTGAGCTTGAACTGCTGACGTTGCAACCTTGCAGTCCAGGGCATTAACCTGCAGTGCCATACCGGGACTCCAGCTTTTCCTATAACTGCTTATAAACCCAGTTCATTGGTTTTTATTATTTCTTCCATTAATAAATTTCTAGTTTAACAATATCCTATTCTTAGACATTTAGATTTTTTTAAATTTTTCATTTTTTTGCTATTACAAAAATTGGTTCATAAACAGAGTTGTACTTCATATCCCTGTACATGTGTGCTAAAGGTTTACTGTATAAACCTAGACTTGGAATTGCAATATTACTGAGTATATATATTTTGAACTGTTTTGCCAAATTGTTCTCCAGTGTAGTTGAAATAATTTATACTACTGCATAGCATGCGAAAGTTGAAAATTGTGAAACCCATAAACCTGTAAAAGAAGTAAACCTCAAATATTTATCAATAAAATAAGCAATAGAAAAGTGGTGAGACTACACCCTGCCAAAGGTGGAAAACTTGTGACAGACGCCTAGAAAAACAAGACAGTCCCTTTGGATTGTGGTTCTCCCTGGTTTCTTTGTATTACTAAGATCTTTCGACTTGATGTTCCCTGGAGTACCACTTACTAACTTATCGTTCAGAGCGCTGCTTAGACATCAGTTTTACACAAAGACTTGTCTATTTTTTCTATTTTATTTCAGTTTTTACCTCTTCTGGCTACCTAATTATACATTTATCATTTCATTTTATTTTCTTTATATATCTTATTGCTTAAAATCTGTATTTATTAACTTGTCTGTCTCCTCCACTACACTATAACCTCTGAGAAAATAAGAAATTTAACTTTCTTGTCCATTGCTGTATCTGTCTGGAATCTGAAATAACATTTAGAGCAAATCTGTCATTCGGTCATTTGCTGAAGAAAGAGTAAATGAATTTGTATTTTCCTTAAACCATGTTTTGGTGGACAAAACATTGAACTTTGAATCAGGAAGGACTGAATTATAGTCAAATTTATTTTACCCTCTTCCTCTCCATGAGATGTTAGTCATAAAAAAATGTTGAATTTTATATAAGTATTTGACTCTTTTGAAGAGATTTCTGTAGATAGGGAATTTCTAGCTGAAATGTAAAGATACTTATAAAGCTATTAGTACATATTGGCAAGTTGTTTTGCAGAAAGATGTATATGCCTTCGTGAGAGTACTGGTTTCTCTGTGCTTACACCAACATTAAATTACACGTAGCTCTCACGAGGAATCCTGGTGTGGTGCTGTGGTTTAATGCTCTAGACTGCAAAGTCGGTTTGAATTGCAAGGGCATCGGCTCAAACTCACCAGCTGCTCTTCTGAAACCCTATACAAAGTCACTATGGGTGGAACTAAACAGCACTAAACAATATCAACAACTAATTCCTCACTTATCAACATGGTTGGGTTCCAAAAATGGAGAATGATTACATCATTGCCAAATTACATCATTACATAACTACCACACTAATGAAACTAATGGCTAAGTCAAGTTGACACATAACTTCTACCATCACAGCCTGCATTATTCTTGCCTCTCACCATAGTTGTTTTGTTTTTTACTTTAATGCCAGTCAAATAGTAGATTCTTTCTTAGTGTTGTCATACATGCAAATATCAGGTAATGAGATAGTAAGTAAGGAGTTGTTGTTGTTGTTGTTATGTGCCGTGGAGTTGGTTCCAACTCAGCGACACTGCACAGGGTTTCTGAAACTGTAAATTTACGGGAGCAGAAAGCCTCTTCTTTCTCCCATGGAACAGCTGGTAGTTTCGAACTGCTGACCCTGAAGTTAGTGACCCGATTGATAACCACTACGTTACCAGAGCTCCTTAAATAAGGATTAGGTGTATATATTTTTTAAGCTTTGCCAATTTGGTATTGAAAAAGTATTATTTATTTGCATTGTTATTTATCATTTATGGTTACCCTCTTCAACTAATTTCTTTGCTTTGTCATTTTCCCCTGTGAGTTATTGCTTCCTGACCTTCAATATATTTTTTCCAATCCTTTTTTATTTTCTTACCAAATTTGGCACAGGTGTTATGATTTCTGGATTGTAGACTATATTAAGTAATCTCAGACCTTGAGCATCTTTTTAAAAATTAGTAAATGATCCAACATTTCAATAAATAATGTTCTGAGTTCATGGAATTTTGAAAATTTTAGCCTTTTCTTACCAGTGTAAAAAATGAAAGTGTGCTTTGATGGCAGTTTATGGAAGTACATGTTCATGGAAGATTACATGTATGTCAGTCAAGAGTTGCAATTTTTAAAACAACTATTTTCAAAAACTTTAACTCAAGATTTTCAAATTGTTGATTAACAGATTCTAGTTCTCTTTTAGTAACAAAAGGGCTCAAACCTAACAGCAGTTGTGAAAATGGTGCAGGACCAGGCTGTGTACCTCCTGTTATGCATAGGTTCCGCAATGAGTCAAAACCGACTCAAGGGCACCTAACAGCAACATTTGGGGAAGCCTTATTGTTTAATTGGCAAACTTTTTATTACCTACTGTCTGTGAAATTCCCTATTTACGTTCTTTTAGAATTAATTGTCCCTATCAAGCCCACAAATTTTTTTTTTGCAACTTTCTGTTATCATTCTTGTTGTTGTTAAGTGCCGTCAAATCGATTCTGACCCATAGAGACCCTTGTATAGGGTTTCCGAGGAGCAGCTGGTGAGCATGAACCACCAACCTTGCAGTTCAAAGGCATTTTGCAGTCTGGTGCATGAACCCACAGCGCCACACCAGGATTCCATTATTATTATTATCTTAATGATAAATCAAACTTCAGAATCAAAACAATTCAGATTCTGGTTCTAATCTTTACCAGCTTTGTGTGATTTTATGCAGTTGTTACAGCCTTTGTGAGTAACAAAGTTAAGTGCCATAGAGTTGGTTCTGACTCATAGCAACCCTGTATAGGGTTCCAAGGAGTGACTGGTGAGTTGAATTGCCAACTTTGCAGTTGAATTGCCAGCTTTGCAGTTGACAATTAGGACCTTATGATCCAGTACTTATCCTACAGCTTCACACCAGGACTCCTTCTGAGCATTTGCTCAGCATCTGAGCCTTAGCGTCCTCATTTTTAAAATAGGGAGACTTATCTCCCTATTTAAATTCAACCTCCTTAAAGATACTTGAACAGTGAATGATGAATATTGCCATTCCATTTTCAGAAACTGAAACTTTTTTCTGTGGAAATTTAATCTAGTTTATATCTTAATATGTCAAATTTCCCATCATGAAATGAAACTT